CTAGGCCCTCAGCTTTGACATTGAGGTCGTGGATGTTCTGAAGATTCACACCAACGGCGGTGAACGGCAAATCCTTGACGGTGCCAATGACCTCTTCAACCGCCAGGTGCTGTGGATACAAAAAAGGGTGTTCTATTGCCGGCCAATTAGAGTTGTGAATATCTTAGTATCTTCCGGCACCATTGATTTGTGTACAGGCTCCTACCAAAGGCTCAAAAATGACCATATAGTCTAAGTGACCTCGTTGGGTTTCCATATCGGTGCATGCTGAAAAACTGACACGGGATCGTGGCTAGGATGCCAACAGATGAGAAAAGGCCCAAGGAACCTAACACAACACATGTTGTGTCCAAAGTTGACACAGAAAATCACGTGTTTTTTCACCACAAAAGATACATTTTGATTGATCCCAATCTAAAATTATAGTCGTCCTGGAGTAGATCAAATCTGCAAAATCCAATACCATGCATTGTTTCATGTTCTACCAGGGTGGTGATCGGAAGACATGGTTCAATGTTTTGGGGGATCCACTGGAACATTTTGGCAGAGGCAATGCCCAGTATACTGATATCCTGAAATCGTGGCAACAGAATGCAGAGATATTCATTGTCTTCAAGTTGATGTGAGATGTTTGTCAAAGGTGTGAAAGGATGACCGTAATGTAGGCTGATGATAGAAAAACCCGCCAAGCTTGAAGAGGATGTCCAATTCATGTCTGGGGGGGTCCTCTGGTCCGTCTACAGACTGACGACTGACGACTGTTTGGCGGACCGACTTCATCGATCCTGTCCCAGGCCGCGACCCCTTGGGGTTCCTTCTTCCGGTGAATGCCGCACACGCGGAGAAGGGCCCACACAAGCGACCCTCTCTCTCCTTCTTCGTTCCGTGGACAAGGCTTTTCTTGGTAGAGGACCATGACCATCGTTTGTTTCCAAGGCCTTCAAGGTTTGGTCGACATTTCGATAAAACAGGGGGGGTCGGAGACATGCCAAGAGAGGTTGAACAGGCATTGGTACGCCTATCCCATGCGTACCAGGCACTTCTCAGGTGGTTCGACTGAAATCCCGGTGGAAAGAGGTGTTCACCTTTCCAGGAGTCAAGTGTTGTTTGAGCCAGATAGCCATCCGCCACTGCTTTCGCAGCACCCGGAAAGGGTTCGCCGAACAGCTGCTCCATGAGCACTGGTGGAGTTTCTTCCGACAAGCTCCTTTGGTATACTCGCCCTAGACCCTTATATGGCCTTTTGGGTTCATAAGGGATTTCCATGGGATGTACGGGTAACAAGGTTTCTCACCATTCGCCGACGATCAGGACCAAGTGGACCAAGTCCGGACAGGCTGGGTCAACTCTGGGGCTTCCCATGCTCCATCGTATAGGACCATCCTTAGGTGTAATTGAACTCACAGATTTGCCAGAATCAAACTCTGTGATAGAACTCAGGGACTGACTATACTTCAACTATATATATATATAACAATAGTTGCATTGCAGTTCATCATATATTACATGTTCCTGGCACTCGTCGTAGCTGTTTTCCAGACTCCGAGGTACTTGGACTCCAGGTCGACTCCAGGTACTTGAACCCTCCACCGCCATCAGCGACCGAAGCGAACGAAGCCTCCGACGCGACAGGCGGTGCGTGTGGTGATTCTCCACTCGGTGGGAGGCCTCAGGAGGAGAGGTTGAGAAATGGCGGTTGTTCGGGGGGGGCGGGGTGAGTCCACTTTCATAACCAATTTTGTGGCCAGGGGTTATTTTGTTGGAGGTGCAATTTTGGAGGCAGTGTGGCCAGGGGTTATTTTGTTGGAGGGGTGGTCAAATCATGTCAGATCCAATACAAAGGTCTTACCCTCCCTGGATTCATTGATAGATGGCCACTGGTTTGGTTTTTCGGATGGCATGGTCATCCGAGTCCGGTGTCATTTTCCACGCTCTGTCACCCTGAGAAGTCCAGGGAAGAACACCTGGACTCTCAATATGTACCTCCCAGAAATTCCTGGCCCAGTGCATCCCAGTGCATCCCACTATACAAGGAACCAGGGATTCGGAACCGGTCGAACTGGTTTTACTCGAACTAGAACCAACTGGTTACCAGCGACATCGTGGTTTGCCTGGATGCCCTGGGTGGTTCTTCAGTTCGTGACCCTTTTGAGATCGGTTCGGTCACCGGTGTGGGACGAACGGGGTCATTTTTTCGGTCGCACCGCGGCACGCGCGACGTCGTCTTCACCGGTCCCAAGGCTGTCCAGAGGCTTCGTCCGTGTGAATCCTATGGGTATCTATGCCCTATGGATCCACTGCCACCGTACCTCAGAAGGCGGCAATTAGGACGGCCCCTACATAAAGAGTCTCCCTGCTCACCGTACCGACCTGGTTCGGTATGTGGATCCGGGATGGGTGAATCTATGTGAATCCCCGAAGTAGTGGGGGAAGAGGTTCGAGTGAGGTAGGTGAGTGAGGTAGGTCCGTGAGGTTCCACGGTTCGCCGCAGTTCGGATCCACGGTCGTTCGCCCGGTGTTCGCCGGGTCTTCGGCCGTGATGCCGCACGTCACATGCAAGCCGCAGAAGTTCCGAGGGTGATCTCCACTTCTATGGAGCGGTCGGAGTGAGTCAGAGTGCACATCAACTTGGTATACCCTATAATGGCCACCCGTTTCTATGAAGAGGACATGCATTCGAGGGGTTTTGAGGTTTTTGTTCGTTCTTTTTGGCCCCTTAGGGTAGTGCATTTCAGCGGCGCTTCAGGGAACTGTTGCTTCTTTTTTCTGTTGTGGGTGCTCATACAGTGGATGGCACTGTCACTGGCACCCAAGGTCCATAATTGCACCACCAAACTCGGGGTCACCAGAGCGCCATCAAACCTCTGAAGACCACAGGTTCCTATCGGCGTGCTGTGGTGTGTCACCGGCACTTCACCACGAAAAACGCTCGCTCAAACGCCGTGGCCCACCGCGCTCCGCTGCCGAGGCGGAGCCACATCAGCTGTGGCCCTCGGCGGAGTTCCTCCTGCAGCGAGGTTATGCGGTTCTGGTGGAGCAACGCAGGCGGGTGACACGACCGGCGAGTGACGTGACATGACGTGTTTTGGTGGCGCAAGGTGACAAGCGCAATCACGAGATGCTTAGAGTTTTTGAAGGGAAGGGAAGGGCCCAAACTCAGAACTCGTGGGCCGGCGACCATTCCTACCCTGGCAGGATTGCGGCCGGAGATGAAGAGTGGCTGCGAAGCAGAGTGCAAGAAGTGGGTGGTCTTCAACTTCACGCCTTCCGCGAATAAAAGGCGCCTTCCGCACGCTGCGCACGCACGCCAAACGCACCTTGTCTTCGTCCGGTTTTCGCTGGCTGAGGGATGCTCATCCGAGTGTGTATCAACATATAGGCAGACCTTCCAGTTCGACCCCCCGGAAGAAGGAACATGAAAATTGACCCAAACTCCTCAACAACAGTCTCCCTCTGAAAAAGACACACCCATCCGTTATGGTGCTACAAACCGATGCTTTGGAACTAGCAAGATCCTGCCTTGGACGGAGCACCAGCTGAAGGAGCTCACTACATCTCACTACCATCTCCCCATCCGAGTGACCCGGACTGATAGAGGCCATTGTTGTTTGCCTCTTTTCAGGGTCACCGGTGAACAAAAAAAAGGCTCAACTTCACGACCTTTCAGAAGCTGGAGTCCAGGTTTCTACAAAGGCTTCTCAGGCCGTTCAAGGTGAAGAAGTCTCGACTTCCGACCCCTGACACTACCAGACACGACTACCATGGGACAGGAATATGTCATGCCTCCAATTCATGTGAACATCTTTTGTTAAACGACCTTGTTGCATCCTTTTTCAACCACCCCAGATCGAGAGAATCGACTCTTCCAGTCCCGGACACTGGGACACCCGAACTCCCAAATCTGGACGAAGAGACATCGACCCAACACCTATATTGGGCCACAAAGGGCCTCTCCTATTGAAATACACACCCAGGCCCAGAGCTCGGAATGAACATGGTTACATGCAGGTCTTGGCCGCCCCCCAAGTTCGGAAGACCATGAAATCCACTACAAACTGGTGGTTATTGTCCACTTCCATGTTCGTTTTCGGGAGTTTTCCTACAGATCCACTGCCACCCTTTGAACAAGTGATGTGTTCGACTCACCCAGATCGCTTCTCTACGGGTGGATGGCTCGGTGCTGGGGCGTTTCAGTGTGTGGTTTCACCTGAGAAAGGAAGGTCAAGACGTCACCCAGTCCCAGACAGCTTGTGGTTGGGTGAGGTATAGTTTTTTAATGGTTGTATCACGATCCATTTTTTGGAATCAGAAGATGAAGAGATTCACGGTATTTCACGCTGCCTGTTGTCTTCCTTTTGTTCCACACTATACCGGCCCGTACCGTCCCCTCCGTTCGCCCGTATTAGCTGCGCACAGAGCCGATGGACGAATTGACCTCCGCACAGAGCCGCGTGCGCTGCCTCACAAGGCGGCACAAAGGGATACCATGGGATACCAATGGCGGTAGAGAAAACAGAAAGGCACCATACGCGTTGATTTTTTTTCATCTCAAGCGCTGACTGACAACATAGATCAAAGCTTGAACGCATGCTGAGCATTGCGGAGCTGCAGGGAGGGCTATGTGTCATGACACCAGACTTTGGTTGACCGGCACCAGACCAGGGCCTCAGGGCCTCAGCAGTTCGACACTAAGCCCCCCCAACCATACAACTGAGCCAGCTTCTGATGAAGGCGGCGCATCAACTCCTTACGCCTTACGCATCTGAATAACTCCAATCGAATACGACTACTGATCCCCAAACCCAAACGCGCACCCCGACGTGAAAGTCCCAGCGAGAGGCGAAGCTATTGTGCAAGGAACTCACCATCAAAACGCCTCTGAAAAGCTATAAGTTGAGTTCTGAGTGATTCTGCATGTTGTTTGTTCTGAGTGACTCTGTTGCTTGAACCTCTTTTCAACCCCGTCCGCCATCCCAAGCCGTATTCCTCCAATTTCCGCCATGGCCTACAGCACTGCCTCCGCGCCGCCCGCGCCGGTCTTGAACCTCCTCTCCGCTGCACAGCGGGTGCGCTGATTTTTCTTTTCCGGGCTTTCGCTCGTTCAGCCATGATCCAGACGACTTAACACAGGTACTTCCCTACAATTACTATTGCCAATCCTTCAGATTGATTTCTACCTGAAACCCAGCTGAAGCACCAGGAGCCGTTTTTGGAGTGCGTTGAACGGGTTTGACTCCCGTTTGGGACACCCCTTGAAACAAGGAGAGAACCACATTGTCCACATGGAGCTAACAAGTTCGATAGCCGGACCTACTACCCTATCCCAGACACTCCATCGGACTGCCATATATATGCCGATCAGACCAGGGGTGGTTGAAGTCGGGTGGTCAATGGGGTTGCAGTCCGGACTGGCAGTCCCAGACTGGTCGTGTCTGGGTACGGATCCATGGATCCACCCTCTTTGAGGTACAGCTTGGGCTCTTTAATGTGTGTTTTTTTCACGTTTGTCTCATGCTGGCGGCGGTCGGTCTTTGGGTCGTGTCATGTCCTTGTCCGCTTAAAGGAGCTACTGGGGATGGCCTCCAACCTGGCCTCCAACCTAGAGCGATGTAGTTGATGAATAGAGGGGATACCCTTGGTCTTGTACAACCAATTATCTATAGGTGTATATGGTTCCCCTTCAAGGACATCAATGACAAGTTCACGTTACGCTCCAGTAGAAACCCACTTTGGATGTAGGGTTACACCACTGGATGTTGCCACTAGAAGTTGCCCACAGCTACATTGCTACATCTCCAACAACCAGCCTTACAAAGCTGGGACCGCCAGTCTGGTGTTTCGTATGCCAGGGCGGTTCAAGGTTCATGTGACTGTCTCAGTGACTCACTAACCATTGCTGGAGACACAAACTTTGAGAATTGTTGGCTTGACTTACTTGGAGGAAATTGTTTGCCAGCAATGAATGAGAGGTTGTCGTTTAGAATGAACTTGCCATGTTGATTTCATCAAAGCCATATGCCAAACATAGTTCCACGACCCCATTTTTGTGGGATCTGGAGTGCTCTTACTTCCACGACCAACCGCGGCTCCGTGATCGTGAAACGCCTCCGAAAAAAACGCTGTCAAGTACGCCGCTGTGGACTGTGGGAGTGCGCGGGTCTCACATTCCTTTGCGGAGTATGAACCAGCCATATCCAGACCTGGGAGTGGGGACCACCCAACAGGTCGAACAGGTAGATGAAGGATGAAAAAGGTAGACGAAGGTCCCTACAAGTCAAAGACCTCATGGAAACCTGGAGATGATTGAGATGATCATACAAAACCAAGACTCAAGGACTCAAGGAGGTAAAAGACAGGTTTTACTGGGTCTCTTGGTGAACGAGATTCCGGCTTCACCCCAGTGGGTTGATCCGCTGTTTTTCTCGTCGGTCAACAACCCCTGACTTTTCTCCGCAGAGGATCACATGGAAAACCCTAAAGCCACGGCGGTTGGTAGTGGGAAACAATCTTACAGGGTCCACGTTAGCTTTCGGGAGTGTACTCCATTATTGAACACCATCACCGATCGATGCCTTTGGTACCAGGTGTGGAAGGATGTTGGCCCGGAGATCAAGGCCGCCCGCAGAACCGAGGAGAGCTTTCACCATTCATAGGACTGTAGCAGTTATAGTTACCCAAGGCTTCCAACAACCATTGTTTTAATGATCTTTACCGAACCACCATTGTTTTACTAAGGATTTTACACTACGCAAGCAGGTCTGTCCCTTTCTGTTCATGGTCTTGGTTGGAATCCTAGGGGTTACATAGATGGGTCCGCGGGTGGCAAATTAGGAGGTCATAGTATGAGATGGTTACATCCCATCAGTAAATGTTAGATGAATGCTCCGTGGGTGAATTGGGATCCATTTGGGGCATAGTTACATCCAATGAGAAATGGGAGGTCATTCCATTGCACGGGACTGGACGTGAATATGGAGTCGAGTCTAAACAAGTCGTTTTGACTCCGGACCTTGGGCTTTGTTCTGACTGGAACCAGCTGAATAAGGAGGAAACCAACTCCAGCTGTACATATTATGTGTATCATATGTCTAAATTTTAGAGTCTAAATCATGCATTTTGGAAAACCACTGAAGCCATAGAGGCTCATGCACCTAGCTATGTGTGTTCTGTTGACCCCCAGACCAATACGATTCAACATAACTTAGTTGATGGAATGCATGTAAAGCATAGCATTCTTTGACGTCTTCTCATGCAATATGTGTCACTCATCATTTTGCTTACGCGACTTTGCATTTTGGCTCAAGCACTGCGGAAAAAGGCGTTTGCGCGTGGTGCTTGCCGTTGCTACACTAAACTACCAACTTTGGCTGTGGTTGGTGAGTTTAACTGGTTAACAGCCTCAGCTATCGCATTTCATATTCGTCATAGGGTAGCCTTGAGCCAGCTTTCTTGTGACAAACCCGCCACTGCTTGTGAGTCTCAATACTCGGATCCAAAATCGAGTTGAAAGGGTCCTTCTTGGGATAAGCACGTAGTGTGATTTCGGCATCCATTCGTTCTTCAGGCTGCCGTCAACAAAGGAAAGCCGAGTGTCAGATCCAAGGACGTTGCTTCTTCAGCAACACCACATCGTAGGATAGGATCCGATTCATATCCATGCATATTGTAAGAGACTAGTTTGATCGCATCGTAAGATAGCCTTCACTAGTTTAGGTTCAAAGATCAATTAAAGTGCAGAACTCATAGAGCAAGGAGCTTAATCAGTGCATTTTGCCGATCCCTTGTGCTGCATCCAAAGGTTTGCATTAGTGTGATCTTAAGCTCATTCATTGAAAGAATCAAGCCGGATTCGTTGCATTGGATCAAAGGAGTTAGCTACTCTTGTTTCACTGCACGCATCCTTGTTCGCTGTTCGGCGTTGAATGCGAGCTCGCTCTCGATCACCCGCCGTCGACGTTGGCACACCGCTTCAAGACGTTGGCAGGCGGCTCAACGAAGCTTTAGATCGGTACAAGAAGGTCAAAGCTGAGAAGCGAGCAGGAAAAGATTTCCAGAGACGCCGCAAGTCGTTGGTCTTGACAATCCTTGAATATTACATTCACCTTGTGCAGATCGGTGTTACTGCAACAGACGGGGATCGAAAGTATATCAAGCGATTAAATCAGGCTCAGGAGACTTTCAGATTGGCGAAGTTTGAGAACAAGTTGCCTTTGCGATCCGAGCCAATTCTCCCTCGAGTGGAGGACGACGACGATCTTGAAAGCCATTGTGCTGAGAGCGTCTATCAACCACTGTCGGAGGACGAGCAAGAGTTGGAGCAGGACTTTGAGGGACCCATTGATCCACGGGGAACTTCGGCGTCTTCTTCAGTTGTTCCGGTGCCCATTGCATCTTCAGTGACCGAAAGGCCGGCGGAAGCATTGCTTGTGTTGCCAAAGGCGACAGGATCAAGGCCAGAGTTTTCTCGGTTGTCACAGGATTTGCATTCAGCATCGGCGGTTCCGACAGCTCCAATCGTGATTCCGGATCCGCCCAAGAAGGCAAGGCCAGTGTTGAAGACAACACCAAAGGCGCGTGCATCAGCAGCATTACAGACAACACCAAGGGTGAGCGCAGTTCCAGAGGTATTTTCTTTATCCCCGATTGTAGTCCGCGACACTGAACCGATTGATTGGCACTATCTTGACGCGAACAGGGTCGAGTTGTACAGCGCACAGGGTCAAAGGATTCGTCCAGCGAACCGTATTGATCTTGGTGGCAGTGCAGTGTCATTAGACTTTCATCAGGTGTTGGACACATTTCGTGAGGGGAGATACGCAACATATCCGACTGCGGAGGAGGACGGAGTTCCGGCCAAGTCACGAGCGGCGGTTGACAGATTGAACCAATATTGGGGTTCAGCACCTTGGTGACTTCATACGTGCATTCGAACTGGAGAAGGGATTGTGTATTGCATTCTTCACGGACACTTCCTGTCCGGTACATCTTGATCACTAGAGAACCTGTTGGTCGGGGTGGAAAGGCAGATAGTCTCTCGAGGATCTTCACTGTTGGGAGGGACAGGTCGATTATTCACGTGGACGAAAAGAAGGAGATCTGTGTTGAGTTCAAAGGGCATCGGGATCGAATTGCTCATATCCAGGTGCCTCGCAAGCCTCGGCCAGAGGGTGTGAAGTCATTCAAGAACATTGATCTTGTTGCAGAGGCATTGCAGCAGGAGCAGGCTGCTCAGGCCGGATATCATCGACGCTAGTTGGTGTTCGCGCTCTCCATTAGGTTTGTGATTTGTGGAATTTGTGGTTGAATCCAGCTTGAAACATTGTTCAAACAATTTGATTTGAGCTGTTGCAATCCCATCGATTTCACATATTTGCATCAAGAGTCACCCAACTAAATCACAAACGAGAACGTGGCAGTTCCTTTCGAGGGACACCGCATCGAGGGGTGAGTTCCAGTCCGCTTCGCGCGCCAAAAGTGGGATCATCCAAGGGTCAATCCGTGTGAACCCTACTTCATTTGTAAAGCAACTGTTGTAGCTTAGCGTTTTGCTTGTGTTCCCGATTGACATGCCGCAGGTATCAGAAATCATGCCAAGTGATCCAATAGGAATGGAGGTTTCAGCCGAGTCATCATCGCTGCAAATTTCGAGCACATCCCCAGAACCTGTCCAGAGTATAATAGAGCCATGCATGTGAGGAAAACCTCCACCAAGGGTAGTCGATCGTCTAGTGCAAGTTCACAGAGGTCATTGCCCCCCGCACAGCCTACTCATCGGAATCGGTCTCAGGGTATGTTGGCAGATCAGAGTTCGATCCGAAAGTCATCGCACAGCTCGAGTGTAAGCGGTTCGGAGCATTCCCATCGTGGTCCAGGGTCGGAACCAAAGGTTGAATTTCAGCATCACCAGAGCATCTTTGATCAAAGAACTTTGAATGTTCACGTTGGTGTTGATCCGTCCCAAGTGTTGCAGTTGCAAAGCAATGTGCAGTCACAGGTCCATGCACTTGAACAGCAGGCTAGGGAACATGTTCATGCAGTCGAAGTTCAAGCATTAACACATGTTCAATCCGTTGAATCCCATGCTCAACAAATGGTGAGTGCGGTTCAGTCGGAAGCCAGTGCAACCGTCCGGGAGAACCAGGCCAATGCGCAGGTAGCCATAGATCGTGCCAACTCGAGGGTAAGCCAATTGGAATCCCAAGCTAGTGATGTGATTCATCAAATGCAATTGAAACATCAAGCCGAGATTTTGGAACTTCAAGATACTGCCCAAGAAGCTCATCTCCAATCCCAACAGCAGATCAATCAGTTGATGATGCAATTGTCGATTCAGAGTAGGCAGTTGGATGAACAAAGGGTTGAGCAACGTGAACTGCACAAAACAATCAAAGTGTTGCAGGAAGAGGTGACCAATCTCCGGCGTTCGAATGAGATGATGCAGCAACAATCCCAAAATGGCACGGGTGTTAACATTGCCGAGTTGATGGCAACGATTCACGACCTCAGGAAGGATGTCAAAGAGGCAGTCAGTCCAAAGAAGGGTGAATCGAGATTGCATTTTCCAATTGCTCCGCCTCCCATTCCAATGTATGGTCAGGGTGAAGCCTACGAAGCTACTGAATATGCTTGTTCAGCATGTGCAGGTTTCGATCCAAGGATGTCACCATCACCACATGCATCCAAGTTCCGTGAACCAAGGTCCCAAGGGTCCAACCAAGGGTGCAAACCACCAGGGTCAGGGTCAGGCTCAGGGAACATCCCATGGTTTTCCGTCTCCACGACGACTCCAACCGTCAAGCCAACAGGACCTCCGTCACCAGGGGGGTCGAGCAGCGACACGGAGGATGGTGGTTGGCCAAATGCGCCACCAGGAGGGGGTCCCGGAGGGGGTAGCAGTGGTCCTTCAGTGCCTGGTTCGCCACATGGTTTAGGTCAGAGCATTGGAGTAGGATCGAATGTTGGATCGAATGTTTTGGGTTTCATCACTGAAAAGGATGTATATCGGTCGAAGGATTTATCTCTCATCAAAATAGATTATATCCCAACATCGGCTGCAGATTTTCAGGCTTGGAGAAACACCCTGTTGACTCGAGTCGCTGCCATTGACATGACTGGGAGGGAGGTAATCCTAAGTTGGCTTCTTGGAAGTTTTGTGGAAGGGAAAGAACCCCAAGACTTCCTAGACAGCGGTTTGCTGCCACGGCTAGACACGCATTTGAGTTCACTGATGATGGATCCAAAGCACCTGCGTGGGGAGCTCGGCATGAGATTCCAGACATATGCAGAATCTTGCCAATTGGCGTGCAAAGCGCCGAGAGGTCGTGCATTTCTTTGCATGATAAGCCAACACTTCCGACTAGATCTCAATAGGGGAGCAAACTTGACGCAACAAACTCTTTTGGATCTCACACTAGAGGGTTACACCCCAAAGGATCTTGAGAAGTTTGTAGAGCGGATTGAGTATGTGCTCAATGGCATACCCCAGGGTTACCAGCCGACCGAGACCACCAAGTTCACTTGGCTCTACTCGAGGTTGAAGCGATGCAAGCTGCTTCAACGACACATCGATCGGATTCGTGACTCGAGAGAGAACTCGCACGTTCGGTCCTGGGAT